ATATTATATTATTTTTTCTGGTGCATAACATCTGCCAAACAATTAAAATAATATGTAGGGAATTGTAATCAGTGCTATTTTTACTGCAATTGTTTTTCACTTAAGAATGTTGCCTGTTTTTTTCTATTGAACTGTGTTTTGCAAACAAATAAAATGAAATAATATGTATGTGCTTAGGCCATTCGTTTATCTATGGTTATTTAATGAAACCTAATGTTTTAATTGTGGAAGTTAGTTTTTGCTTCAGCAGAACACTGAGCTTCCTCGCGGYTTTTCTCACAAACATCTCTGTTTGTTTATTTATTGGTTGATTTTCTGATTGGGTCCAGTTTGGCCCCATTAATCACAGCACAGTGTTGAACCCTCCTGACTAATTCTTATCAAAAGTATCTGTAACATGCAGAACCCTTCTGTCGCTTCAATGGCCAGTTTCGGTCCATAAAGATCGGCTCCCAGGTCCCTGAAAGCAGCCCTGGCTTTAAAGGACGTCAGAGGACAGTTGATTGAATAATAAACCCGTGCARCAGGAGCGCGAGGACTTTCGCTGTGGACCAAAGACTCTCATCACTTATGAAGCTTCCAGCGGTGGAGCTCGTGCTCGTCCTGCTGCTGGATCCAGTTCTGGGTCTCTCCGAGCATCGGGGCGAGATGACCGGACGCTCCGGCGGCTTCAGGCGCACCGTGAGGCGGCGGCAGTTAGTCCGGCTGCCCCTGTACATGAGGCGGCTCTACCGGACCATGTGGACCGAGGAGCGGGCGAGAAGTCAGACTGCTGGCATGGGACAGCCCYGGGGGGTGTACGGGGGTCTCCACCACTCAGACGCTGTCATCAACCTTGTTGCTAAAGGTGAGTTTAACAGGAAACCTTAATWTGCTTTTAAGCCTTCAGAATCCAAGTGTTACTGAACTAAATGTCATGTAAGGGTTAAGATTCATTTGGTTCTGTTAAAGCAGAGTGAAATTTAAAATAAAAATGGAACCTAAATGCACTCAGAAAAGTTTGACCAGTCTACTTAACAACAACAACAACAACAACAACAACAACAACAA